GATGTTTAACAACTGGTTCTCAAAAAAAAAAGTACACATATACTCCTAAGATTAACTTGCACTATTTAACACATTACTAACATGACTTTCTTAAATCTAGACAACCAACAAAATAAATTAAACCCCAATTTCATGGGTTTGCCAATTTCTGAGGTGTAAATACTCATGCTGAAAATTTAACAATCAGCTGTTTTGAGTGTGTATGAGCTGGCTCCAGCACACCTCTGATTAGATGGGACCTTAGAAATAGGTTTAGTCCAATCTTCCAGTGCAGGAGTCTGACAGGTAATTAATTATCTCACTGGGAACCCTTCCATTTTTTTCAACTGCTCCATTAGAAACTTCTTCATATTGACTTTTTATTAATGAGGTAAGATTTGCTGATCACAGAGCTGGAAGGGACCTTCTCCAATTCCTTCATTTTACAGTTTAAGAAACTGAGGCACAGATAGGATAAATAACTTGTCCAGTTAGTAGTGAGTAGCAAAGTTGGAATTCAGAAAGAAACTGAGGCACAGATAGGATAAATAACTTGTCCAGTTAGTAGTGAGTAGCAAAGTTGGAATTCAGAGCCAGGTCCTTTTAACTTCCAAGTCCCATGCCCTGTCAGCTGTATCACCGTGCCTCCCTGTAAGTTCCACCTATTGGGCCTGCTTCTGCTTTCTGATACTAAACAGATTAAATCTACTCCATCTTTTACAGCAGTGCTCTCCAAACTTCTGGGGTCATGCACATCTGCAGTAAAAAGTGTTAGAGCATCAACTACCCAATATGTCAATTTACTGATTTATGAATTTACATACATATACTACTGTACTAGTAATTATGTACCTCATAATTTGATGTGAAAAGATAAATTTTAAACAGATGAGATAAAAGATATTTGATCCTAGATCCTGGAGGCAATAGGAGTTTGAGTAGAGGAGTGACGTGGAGGGGATGATTTGAAGTGGGAAGAGACTTGCATCAAGGAAATCAATTTCAAGAGGCTGTTGTAATAGTCTAGCAATGATGACAGCCTGAATTAGGGCAGTAATGATGATGGGTAGAGAGGAAGGGACACATACAAGATACATAGAGATGGAAATGGCTAGATTTGACAACTGATATGTGAGGTGAAGGGGAGTGAAGAGTTAAGGATGACATTGAGGTTGCAAACCTGGGTGACTAGAGGAATGGGGGTATACCTTTGTAAAGAGGTGTGGCCTTTGTGGGGAAAGATAATGCTCACAACCCATTCGTGCCTGCTCACTCTATCCCAGCAAATATGGGGGGGGCAGTCGCAGGCCTCTGCCCCTCCCCCAGAGTGCAGAGCCTGGCAACTACTACAACCACAAGGTAATCTTGGAGGGAGGGGAAGGGGGAAGCAGAGTGAGGGAGTATTGTGGGACAATGGGTAGAGGCTATGATACTGGAAATAAGCCAATGATTGCCTATTGTAGGATGTCACTCATCTTCCATTTGGTTAATCCACATACCCTTTGGGGTCATGTGGTTGGCATCCACTTTGGATTGTGCTGTTCTCTACAGGCTACCCTTTCGTATACATGTCAGATATTTTTTTCTTTTACAAGCTAAAAATCCCACATTCCTTCAGAAGCCCAGGATGACGGCTTTTGATACATCCTTTTTGATAATATTTGAAGATATGTGACACCTTGGATTTTAACAGTGACTTTATGTCAAGTCTGTGAAAAAATTATCTGTGTTTCAGAATAACTGGCTAAAAAAGAATCCTTATGTAGGAAATACACTCCAAAGGGAATAATTTACTATCATTGAGTACAGTTAACATGTTTAGTATAATAAGGAGAATTTAGCAACTCCTGCTCACTTTAAAATCTGAAGTTAGAGCATTACACACTTTAAAAATCTGAAGTTAGAGCATTACACAAAGCCTGACCTTGACAGGGCTCAGTCATTAGATACACACACACACAAACCTGTGCTTAGCTTGTTGTATAGAGTCGTAGATTCTCTGTCAGCTACCTTTGGGGTTTGAGCAGGGGTGGTAAATGGGAACTGGGAACCTGAGTTTTTTCCCAACATACATTTTTAGAACTATCAGATTCAGAATCATGACTCTTGTAGGCAATTAAGTTTTTTTCCCTTAAATCTTTGGCAAAGATTTAGATATTCAGGAGAATATTGAAAAATTGAGAATATTGCCAAATGAGAGAACTTAATTTACTGGTCAGAATCTGAGTTGGAAGAGACCTTTGAGGTTATCCAGCCCAACTACCCTGAAACATAAATCTCCTGTATAAAATCCTAAAGGTGGTTGGTCAACTTAACCGCCACTTACAGGTCTCCCATGACATGAAAGAGAAGCCACCTAACACAAAATATCGCCTCTTGAGACAGCCCAATCCATTTTGTGACAGTTTGAATTTTTCATTTTTTCCTCCTACTAAATCTCAATAAGCTTCTGCAGTATTCACCCATGGCTCCTGTTCTGCCCTGCAGCGCCATGTAAACAAGGTAGTAATGACTAGATTTATACCTAGAAAATCCAAGGTTCAAATTCTAGCTCTTCTACTTACTACCTTTTCACCTCAGCCCAGTCACTTCCCCTCAGTTTCCTCATCTGTGAAATTTTGGGGCCAGATGGTGTGACCTCTAAAGACCTTCCCAGATCCAAGTCCTATGATCCTAATTCTCATCCCCCTCCATACTTGGAAGTTCTTTGTGCTCCCTCCTCCCCTCTATCTGTCAGTCCTCTCATGGGCTGTCACTGCAGTTTGAAAGCTCAGGAGAACAAAGGCATTCAATCAGCCTCACATATAAGAGACAGAAGGATTTTAGGCTACAGAAAGCAAGAGGGATAACTCAGAGGAAGGAGGTCATCGATAGGCTCCTTACTCAGCCCTAGTCAGACCACACCTACAGCACTGCTCAGTTCTGCACATTTTTTACAGGCATCACTAAGCTAGAGAACATCCAGACATGGTAAAGGGCTTTGAGTTCATGCTGTAGCAATCAAGCAAGCCTTTATGAAGTGCCTCTTCTGGGCCAGGCTCTGGGTGTACAAAAACACAAACGGAAGAGTCCTTGTCCTCAAGGCGCTTCGCTGAAAGAACAGAGGATGTATAGCACAAAGAGAAAGCTTAAATTGACGGAGGAGCTGGGGAGGGGAGGAGACATGACAACTGTCTTGAAATATTTTAAGGGCTATCTTTTGGAAGAGGCATTAGACTTTTTTTTTTTTTGCCTCAGAGGGGAGAACTGGGAGCAAATGGTAGAAGTGCAAATTTAGGCCTGATGTAAGGAAAAACTTCCTAACACTAAGAGTTCTTCAGGTGTGAATTAGACCAGATGGCTACTGAGGGTTTTTTCAAGTCTGAAATTCTATGAACACATCATCTACATTAAATTTTACCTGCTAAACAAACATGAAAGATGGCATGACTTAGTGCAGTGGTTCTAGGATACCTTTACAATCATAAAAATTATTAAGGACCCCAAAGGACTTTTTGTTTATGTGGATTAACCCTATCAATAGGTATCATACTAGAACTTCACTCAATATTTAAAACTAGTTATTAATTTTCAAAAATAATAATAAACCTATTATGTTTTTATAAATAACATTTTTACGGAAATTTTTTTTGTCAAACAAAAAAATTAGTAAAGAGAGTGCCATTTTTTTAAAAATAATTTTTGCAAATCTCTCTAATGTCTGGCTTAATAGCATACAGATTCTCATATTCATTAGGGGTGGCCAATGACTAAGTGGATAGAGTGCTATGTCTGGAGTCTGTAAGACCCGAGTTCAAATCCAGTTTCGCACATTTACTAGATGTGTGACCTTGGGCAAATCATTTAATCTCTGCCTGCCTCAGTTTCCTCAACTGTTAGCCAGAGATAATAACAGCACCTACTTTGCAGGGTTGTCGTAAGGACCAAATGAGACAATATCTGTAAAGCCTTAGCATAGTACTTGGCACATAGTAGGCATTCTACAAATGTTTGTTATTATTACTACTTTTTCAGTAAGTCTCTTGCAATGTTTTAGTTGAAGTATCAAAATCTGACCCAACACAGATATATAGGTAGAAAGAGAAGAATATTTTAATAGGCAAATAATGTCTTAGTATTATTATAAAAATAGTTTTGACCTCAAAGACTCCCTGAAAAGGGTCTTGGGAACCACATTTTGAAAAGTACTGGTTTAGTGGATAGAGAGCTATCTGGGAGTCAAAACCTGGATTCAAATTCCGACTCTGATCTACGGAAACTTTATGACTCTGGGCAAGTAAATTTATGCCTCACTGCCACTGGTACTAAGACTATATAGACAAATGAGTTGCTGATTTATATCCATTGATTCTCCTAAGCCAGTAGTTCTCTCCTCCAAATAAATCACAGGTCTGTACTTCCCCTCCAAAAATCAAAACACTAAAACAACTACCAAATGAACTGAACACTGGGAAGAGGAGAATCTCTTACATGTTCTCCACAAAGTTATCAAAAATTAAAAAAAACCAAACATTGTGTTAGAAATAGGCAATGCTTGTTGTCTTCTAATATCTGGCTTGCATGGATGCTGTGTTTATAAGATATGATCAGCAAGGAAAAACACAAAAACACCAAACATTTACGAGAAAAAAGTTTACATTCCTTCTAGTTGCAGACAAGGATGAAAGGGTTAAATTTTTGTGTCTATAAATCAAGAACTTCTTCCTTTTTCCCTCAATAGCATCAACAACTTCCCCCTAGCTAAAAAGCATCCAGTTTTGCTTAATGGGAGAAGGAAAAACAATTAACAACAATTAGCCCATAATTAAAGTTTAATGTCTTTACTATGATGACAAATAATTGCAAAAAAATTTTAATCCCAGCTCTTAAAGCCTGTTTTTCCTTCTATCTGCAAAATAAGTAATTTCTGTATCTTGTATCAACTCTTCATTGTAAAAGTAACACAGGTGTTAGAGAACCAAATGATGTTCAGTCATTGAGCATTTTGTAACCTCCAAACTGCACCCTTGTTCTTTTGACAGATAAACCATAAATGAGAAGAGTGGTGAAAGGAGTTGTCAATTCCTGCTCCTAGGAGGAAAAGCTCTGGTTTATCAATCAGGTTACCTATCAGAGTATTCCAAGGATGCTGCTAAAGTAGCCCTGGACATCTCCCTCCTCCTCTGCCTGATTCCTGATTACTATGGGCTGCATAAAGTCAAAGCAAACTTTCCCTTTTCCAAACACAATCTCAACTGAGAAGAGACAAGAAAATGAGGAGAGATTTCTAACCGAAAAGCCTTCGATGGTTTCTGTCAGAACAGAGGTCGTGAAGGATTCTTCCGCCAGGGTGGTGGTGTTGGAGTATGCCCATCGTCTGTCCCAGGAAATCATGGATGAAGCGGTGAAGCAGTGGGCGGCCAATGACAGCAGGTATGGGGACATCCCATACATTGAGAATGAGGCAGTGCCCTGAGGCTCCCTGGCTCACTCTAGAATGGATGACTCTGTGAAACTATAGGTTTAAACAGTGTACATTGGTGCTAGTCCAAATACAGAAGAAAGCAAAAACTGGTGTAATTAAGTACATAGAACTCCAGCTGTATGTAAAATATCTTTTATGTTGGTACCAAAGTTGCTCTGATGGAAGAGTAAGGTACTTTATAAATGAAACATCTGTTGTGATCAGCACTAGGTCAAGAATGTTTGTTTTCTGCTTTGTTTGCCTTCATTGTAGTCTGATGTAGCTTAAATGGCCACATGGGGTCTTGTAGCACTGATGCATTTTATCTGGCTGCTCTCCTACAATCATGAGACAAGCCTGTCACTCCATGCAGCATCGCCAAAGAATGAAAAACATCACTGTTCATGCCTGTTGTTTTTATGTATGCTTTTAGCTCTACTATTTAATGATGCTTGACCGTTGCACAGGCAAAGATCATCAATATGAAAGGGTAGGTTCCCATAACAACACCACATTTGGGGCTGGTTAGAGCAAGAATGCCCCTTTTGCCATTCATGGGCAGCCTTTGTTTGTCCAGAAATAGACAGCTAAAGAGAACCTATGTGCTTTTTTCATCATGAGAAAATAGTGATGCTTGAATTTTTGAAGAGGCCCTTAAGGATTTCCCTTAACAAAACTTATCAAATACACTAAAGAAAAGCACTTAACTTTTCAATGGCAGAGTTAAACTACCATATTCCTTATGATGCATACCCCATACCCCCAGGTCATCAAATCACTTGGACTCCCTAAGTATATTTCGAATCCTAAAATGTTGGTAAACATCAAATCTGAGGTGATCGTAAATGCTAAAACTGAATGAGCAGGTGCTTATACCACCCCCAGCTGGAGGGCACCAGTCTTGATGTTGAATTTGCATTAAGTTTTCAATGTCTGCCAAGGCAGGCAGACTTCCTTCATCTTCCCCCTAGAGCCCTGCCTAATTGCTGTTCTAGCAGCTTCTGTTGAGTCTAGAAATCAAGGAAATTCCCAAAGGGATTATGGTTGGCTAGCGTAATAAATGAGATGTTAAGCATTGAGAGCTTAAATCTTTAAAAACAAACCAACAAAAAACCCATTAAGCTCTGTTTCCTCCTCACTACCTTGCCTACAAAGCTAGCCTGCATGTGTGCCAGGTGGGCCCAGTAATTTGTTTCAGAGAATATATGAGTTTATCTTATGGAGTGTGTTTGATTACAGCTGTCAGCATAAATGAACACGTTTCCTCTACTTAAAAGAGTAGAGTATGGGGGACTTAGAGACATAAGTTATAGCATCATTCGCCTAAGCTGATGTGGTATGTTTGGGTGCCTTGCAACTGTTTCCTTCTGTCACTTTCACAGACCTGGTTCTGAAAACTAAAATCCTGATGAGTGAACACCTTATGGCAAAACCCTCGAAGACTTTTCCAAGGGAGCAGCTACCAAAAACTTAACAAGAAAACTTCAGAATGAATCATTTATTTGTATGGTCATACCCATGGAGTCTAAACTGGAGCCGACTCCAGTGTTCAGAGTACTAGCTTGTTAGCAAGTTTATTCCCTGTTCAGTTTCATGGGGATGGGGGAGGGCATGGAGGGTCTCTTTAAGCACATATTTTTCAGGCCATTTGTTTAAAGCATTGTAATAAAAACTGGGTATGAATTCTAGGACTAACCATAGAGGAGTAGATAAGGTCCATGCTTTACTGCAATCTAGCACTGAAATGAGCCATGCAGACCTGCTGTTAGTGTTCCCACAGTTTCCATTTCCCTCATCCAAAAAGTCTAAAGAGAAGGAAAGGGAGGATATAGCATATAAATAAGGATATATGTATCCTGCATTGCAAAGCAGCCAAAAAAAAAAAAAGAAAAAAGATACCTCTTCTCAGTTAAAAAAATATTACTTTTAAACACAAGAGAATCCTACCTAGCGTATTTCTTTAAAAATGAGTGCTAAGTCACCTTTATTATTGATATTATCTTGTGCATTAAGTCCAGTTGCAATTTGGACCCGTGATCAATAAAAAGTACACCACCTAGGCCCTTTTTTAAGGAGTGTATGATTCTTAACATTCCATTTTCCCTACTGTTATAGCTAAAAATCAAGGAAAATGTAGATGATTCCTGTTCATGGAAGGAGCTGAGATTTGTGGGTCCGATGCTAAATGGAATGTCCCTCAGCTCCAGCTGATAACAATATTCCCAATAGTGGTAAATTCCTGGTGAAAAAGCTTAGAAAGTTTATACATGCTTAAAGTCGGACCAAAGCCTCAGAGTTGCTGCTTTTAATTAGTATGTTATATGTATCTGAAATTCAGAACACATTTAGTTTTCATATATCATTTCACTTTCCCACAATGCCCTTGAAGGTTTAAGAATGTCAAGAAATTGATAAAATTTGGTTTCCAGTTCTAGTCTAAGAAATGGGTAAAATATACATACATACATACATACATACATACATACATACATACAGATATATATATATATACACACACATATACACATACACACATATATATATGTATACACACCCCTATGTATGCATGTGTGTATTTATATAGATATATATTTATACAGATATATAAAGAGATAGCTATACGAGGATTGTGGCAACCAGACAAAGCTATTTAATGGCCTTTCACACCTCATATCCACAATATAACCCCTCCCCACAGTATATCTATCCATCTGGACTTTGGGTCCACCTCTGTGATCTCATAGTTCTAAAACTATTGCATTTGTTTCAGTCCCCTGGCTTTTGGTGGGTGAGTAAAGAAAAAAACATTAGCAACTGGGATGATAAATGAGCAACAGTTGGCTATGCCTTTCCAAGACAAGAATTATCCAAAAATCCTATCCCTAGCCTTAGCCCTGAACCATATTTCAGTATAGTGTGAGAGAACTTCCTCCTAGGTGTTTTTCACAATACAATAGGCATGAACTGACCCAATGGGGCTCTTCCCAAGTAACTCCACAGGCCATAGGATTTTAGAGCTCATTCTGGGACAACCTTCATTTTTACAGATGAAAAAATTAAACCCAGGAAGATGAAGTAATTTGTCTAAGGACACACAGGTATAAAGGAGGAAAGCCAGGATTCAAATCTTGATGTTCTGATACAGGGCTCTCTGTATTCGACCAGATTGCCCCTCTAGTCTTATCCATATGTTATATTTCATGGGAGAGGGGTTAGGGAAGCTTCTCTGACAAAGAAGCTTTGAGAAACCTGAGATCCAGAGGAATCTGAGGTGTAAAAATAAGGCTGTATTGTCGCTCAGTTATTGTTTGTGCTCTACTGCTGTTGGCCAGCATGTGTTTGCATGTATACACACACAATCACCAACAGACAATGCAACCTTATTTATGCACCTCAGATTCCTCTGGCTCTCTGGGTTCTCAAGGCCCCTTTTTCATAGAAGCTTCTCTAGGCCACCTCCCATTAAATATAAAATGGATAATATGGCTTAGTTATAAGATGGATCAATCATCTCTGCAATAGACTTTTACTCTATTTGGTTTCTTTCATACGTTCACATTGGACTGCTGTCCTTCATTGGTTCTCCCAGGCAATATGGTGGGGGCAACATGATCTCTGGGGCCCAAGAACCCACATGTCAATCCTGGCTTATTACCCAAGTGACCTCAGGCAAGTCTCTTCACCTCTCTAGGCTGTGGTTCCCTCATCTGTGAAACAAACACCTTAGCCTAGATGATCTTCTTTCAAAGGCTCCTTCCAACTCTAGACCCTGTGAGGTCAGCCAGAGACATGATAGGAGACCAACAGCAACCCATCCTAGAAGTCAGGCTCATGTGTCCTTGGAGGAGGAAACAGACATATGGGAGGAGGTATGTGAGATACTGACTGCTTAAAAGGAAGAGACAATTCAGGCCTGGGCATTGATATATTACAAGGAAAACTGTGATGAAACTGGAAGGGGATGGGGTGCAGAGGGGTGTAGATACTACAGTCTGGCTGAAGATGGGGCAGTTTTCTATGCTATAAATGAAGGCAGTAAGTTTAGGGCATGGAATAGCATTTCTTTTCTTCCATCTCCCAAGCCTGTGTCACTTTATAATATAAAACTTCTACTTTATGAAACTTGGGTTTGGAATGAACTCATTCACTCAGAAAAATCCAGGCATGGCAGTGTATGTCAAGGGAAGGCAGAGGCATATCAAGTTGATAAAAACAACTTAAGTGACAGTCCTGGGAACAGCACAGTGCCCAAAGAAATAAGGTAATTCCTCACTTATCCAACCCACTATGTGTCTGCAAATTCAACATGCTCATTTTCCTACCTTTCAGATCACTTACCTAAGATCCCAAGGTCCTCAATTCCCAACTGCCTTAGTATCTCTTTACAAACTGCCCCCTGGTTTATTAGCACTAAAAGCACAATTTTGGAGGGGAGGAAAAGTGAAAGAGAGGCTATAATATCTCCCCCAAAAGAATACTATAAGGATAGTTAGTCATACAATGGCATTATTGTTATTTTTAAGTAGCATGAAGAATAAATGAAGTAGCATGATCCTCCTATCACATGACACTGACTAACATTTTATTGGAATTGGATTTGAGACAATAAAGTGTTATTATACATATTTTTTGTTTTAGAAACCAGACATGCCAGAGATACTTTATAACTGAGATTTGCTATCCCCCAAAATTGGTTCCTACATAACTCTCTTCTCTCTCATAATTAAATAGAAGCAATACCACTTGTCCTAGGCTGTAGTTGTGTGCCTGAGTAGGATCTGTGTTTACTTACAAGCACTGGCTGCTTTTTACCTTGTAAAATTCTTGTTTTGTTGGCAAGCTCCTTCGCTTCCCCATGACTGAAGCATACATATGACAGTATATTTTTACAAGTATTTTTGTGAAAATTTTCTTTGAAACTGTACAATAAAATTCAGTTGCCATTAACTAGTTGCAAACTTTTACCTAATTAAAATAAGTAATCAACCTAGTTGTGTGCTTGGCATTTGTCTTTAACATAAAAGGACTTCACATTTCTTTCAGGAATGCAGAAATGACCCCTTGCCCCCCCTCCCCCACAAAAAAAGTGAGTATAAATCAGTTTAACTTCTGAAAATAATTTCTAAGATCATTTGAAGGACCACTATAAGAACTTCTAAGTAAAAATTTAAATATGTGCCAACAAATGTATCCATTACTATGATATTTGAGCCTATTTTCCACATTGCTGCTATGAATCCTTTGGAGGAAAAATGCTGTCAACTATTAGCTAAAATGAAAGGAACTGGAACAGATAATCCCTACAGTCCCTTCCTGTTCCATCATTCTCTGAGTCTCAGCTCTGATGCTTTCTAAAAATAATAAATTTATTATGAAGGGGGAACAGTATACTTGTTGACAAAATGAATGAAGAAAAATAGCTACATTTATACAGGACCTTTATCACATACAGACATACATGTGCATGTACATATATATATATATATATATATATATATATATATATATACACACACACACACATATAGATTTACAAATATCTCATTTGATCCTAACAACAATATTGGGAGGTAGGTGCTGTTATCATTTCCATTTTACAGATGAGGAAACTGAGGCAAGAGGCGGCTAAGTGACTTGCCCAAGGTCAGACAGCTAGTAAGTATCTGGGCCTGGATTTTAACTCAAGTTTTCCTGACTCTGGGCCCAGGGCTCTATCCACTGTGCTCCCTAGCAGAACTGACCTCTGATCATAAAGCTGCTGTACTCTGAATCCAGCCTCTCAAGTCTGGCAGTGGAACTTACCATTCATTTTTTTACATTCTTTCTCACCTTCCGAAATGGCTTTTACAGCCTTAGTTGCTCTTCTGTCAATCCCAGTCATGCAAATGCCCATTTTGAACAAAAGCTCTCTTGTTTTCATCTGACTTCATCTTCTGGATTTGATCCTTCTATAGGGACAAAGGCTGCGTGTGACATCAGCCCATGTTCCTGGGAACAGCCAGTACTCCACCAGAGTCAGCCTTGATGTCAAACTGTGAACAACGAAGAGGGGCTGGGTCTCAAAACCAGGTCAGGGTCCCCCAACCTCAGACCCTGAGATCAGAAGAAATAGCTTGTCATGGTATTCTCACTGTCTATAGCTGCTCTTGTATTGTACCCTTGTATTGTAGCCCCAGTTTTGGATTAAAAGGACTACTAGTTGCTAGTTTTAGGGGACTAGGTTGAGGGAAAAAACAAAGTTATCTCAACTATTTTACTTTCCTCTTCCGTTTGGCTAACCAAAGTGAGGCCACCTCTTAAGAGTATGATGTCTAGGGCAAAAGCTTTCTCTTTCAGGTTTTAACCAAGCTCAGGCATTTTTCTGGGTCACTGATTTGTTATGAAACCCATGCTGAGAACCTGTTACTGACTGTCCCCCTGAAACGCACTGCAGTTTTGAATGCTGCTCTTTTTAAAAAATAAGTGGCTAAGAAAAAGAAAATCAAAAGCCAATGCGTGATAAATGAGAAAGATTTTTCAAACATTTCATCCTATCTGAAAGGTTCAGCTTTCTAAAAAGAATAGGTAAATAGAATCACTATAGGTGGATAGTACTCCATCACATTTACTTAACTTAAAATTAAAGAGAGAAGCAGGAGTGATGTGATGGGAGAACAGAAGAAAGGAAATTCCAAAAATATATAACTTCAAGTGCAAAGGGAGAGTTGATAGGTACAATGATTTTTAACATAATTTCAGATACTTCATAAGCCTACAAATTAACAATCACACAATCTAGGAAAAGAGCCAGTAATAAAAATCAATGGTCTCAAATGTCATATACAAATTCAGAAAGTACAAGGAAAAGTTATTTGATTTCAATAAGGGTCACTAAGGTTTGGTAAGATACAGCCTGCGACTGGAATGTGAAGCTGAAAGGGCATACCTTATTTGGAAGGAAAAATATACGTAAAAAGATGTTGGATAGAATAACATTATACATTTAAAAGATTTGCCCACATGAGGAAATCAAAGAACCAGAGAAGTAATCTGGGAGCATCTGAATGAGTGTCAATACTATTACATCAAATAATATCACTATCAAATAATATTATTATCAGATATCAAATATCAAATAATATTATCAGACTAGAGCCCTCCTGGACAGAAAGAGGAAATAGATGAGGAGTTGGGAAAACATCACAATCACAGAGACATGATATAGAAATGATATACGTAGGACTGGTGATTTTGTCATCATGACAGAATCCAATATCCAAATACCAATGTACAAATCACCTTTGTCTTAGTGGTTAAATTCGAGGGAGCTGCCAATGGCACATAATGGTTAAGTGATTTGCCCAAGATCACACATTTAATGTCACAGGTGGGATTTGGCTTTAGGTTTTCCTGACTTCATTCCCAGGACTCTATCCCCTATAACATACTGCAGTTGAGGCTGGGTAACAAGACTGTCATGAATCTTGTCAGGACGGCTGCATGATTTTCTCCACTGTTCAGTAGCACGTATAAGAACAAAGGCAGCAGATGATGAGAATGATCTAAGGCTGAAGCTCAGGCACAAGCAGCAGCAATACAATAAGAGAGCAAAGGACTCAAGGACAGTATAGAGTTGAACTGATTCACTAAGGGGTCAAGATAGAGAAAGGAGGAGATGGTGGCTTATGCAGGGGGGATGGCCTGGGAAAGAACTGAGGGATGGAGGGACTAGAAGAGCAGGGTGTGGTGATAGAAGGCAGAGGGAAAAGACGGAATGACTACACATTGTGATCAGATAAGGGAATTTCAGAATTGATGGCATGATCAAAGGTATGACCATCTTTGTTTGTGGCTAAGATGAGGTGGAGGGGTAAGTCTTGGGAAATGAGTAAGCTGATGAACTGGAGGGTAAGGGTGTTTGAGGGAGTATCAATGTGTATGTTGAAGACCTCTAGTATGAAGGCAGGAGTTGGAGAGGAGAGAAAGAGTGTGAACCAGGAACTGAATTCATTGAGAAAGGAAGGGGGAGTGTCCTGGATATCTCTAGTTGTGGATCACATAAACTTCAAAGAAGGAAAGGTTACCAAATGATAATGGTAGGGAAGGAAGCTGGAAGTAGCAATGGAAAGTAAAGAGTATTCCACTTTCCTCACCTCAACCAGTGACTGAAGGGAAAAGAGTGAAAATGCAGGTACCTGCTGGAAAAGGTTGGCCAGGGAGGCCAAGTCGTCAGGAGAGAGTCAGGTCTCAGTGAGAGCCACAAAATGGGAGGGAGTGAGAAAGGAAAAGACTGAAGATGAATGCTAATTTGTTGCCTATGGGGCAGGCATTCCAGAAGACACAGTGAAAAGGACTTTGGAGGGGGGAGGAGGATGGGGGGAATGGGAATGAGCTCAGAAGGGGAGAATTCGTGCGGAATGAGGTTTGAGTGATGACCTATGGAGTTTCAGAATCACAGAGATGGGGAGGGTACGACCGGGGGAGAAATTTGTTAATCACTAAGTGAAAATTTTATAGAGATTTTCAAAGCCAACTGTATTATGATCTCTGGGATAAGTCCTTACAGAGTCTTGGACAGTTCAGGCAAAGGAGTGAGAACTTGAAACAGAAAGAATAGTAATACTCTCCCCCAAAGCAAGAGACCAAGGTGGAGATTTGATGGAATGGCACCCTCTCCTTTCGTCTCAATGGCGGGAGACTGGTATGATGGAATTACATTTCTCTTCCCCACAGAGGCTGGAGGTCAGGCAAGAGATTCATGGGGTGTGATGGTAATATGCCCTCCTTTCCCACCTCCCACTCTTACCTGAGGATGGAAACCAAGAGACTCCTGGAGATCAGGCAGAAGATGCATAGGGCATGAGGGTGATGTACCTTCTTCTCTTACAGTGGCTGGAGGTCAGGCAGGTGATACACTGGGCACATTGGTAATGAGCCCTCCTCCCATTTCCATTGGAGGCTGGTAATCAAGCAGGAGATTCATGGAGATCTGTCTAAATACATCACAAATACATACATACACACACACATATATTCACACACACATACATACAAAAAGCAGAGGTAGTAACAAGGGGAACATCTTCCTGAATCTGATTCTCACCAGCAAAGAGGAACTGATTGTGGGGGTGGAAATGACAGGCACTTCAGGGAAAAGTGACTACTCCATTTTAGCATTTGCAATAAAGAAGAAGAAAGCCACCATAGTCTAATATGGATCCTAGACTTGGGGCTAAAGTACATTTCAAAGGGTTCAGAGAAGGGACAGATTCCCATGGCCTAAGAGGGAAATCAGCTGAGGAGAAATCAGTTGTCAAGAAAGAAATTCTTGGCACAAAGAGAAAAAATTTAAATCAGGAGAAAAACCATATTGTAGGGAGCTCGCTGATAAAATAGAGAATGTCTAAACGAGGACAATCAGGCCAGCAAAGGGCCTTGAGATCTTACCATATGAAGACTGATTAAAGAAAACAGAGCTGTTTCATATAGATAATTAGGGGGAATGTGGTAATTTTCCTTGAAAGTAAGAAGAGCCACTATGTAGGAAATGGATTAACTCCAAATGGCAAAACACAGAGCAGTGGGATGGGGAGAAGCCACAGAGAAAGAGACTTGATGAAAGTAAATGCTTCCTAACAAAATCAGCTATGCAAAAGAATGAGATACCTTGAGAAATATCAGAATCACAGATGTAGAAGGGCCTCACAGGTCATCTGGTTCAATCTCTTCATTTTGCAAAGAAACCGAGACCCAGAGAGGTGAGGTCACTTGCCCAATGTCACACAGCTAACGAGAAGAACTTGGGCTTAAATCCCAACTCTCTACATCTCCATATACGCCCTCTCTCTCTCTCTCTCTCTCTCTCTCTCTCTCTCTCTCTCACGTGGCACAACTTAAAAAGAATCCTCTCTCTGGATTTGACTAAATGGCCTGTAAGGTCCCTTCTTACTCCAATTTAGTGATTCTGTGAAAGGAAAATCACAACTGGGATCCTTTAAAAGAAGTGCAACTCAACAAGACCTAACATGAGATTTGGAATGCAAAGAACATCTTGTTTAGAGTTTTTATCTTGATTTCTGTTTAAAGCATGTTAATGTTCCTATAAGGTAGCTTTTATTTCATAAATTGTTACTCTAAACATCCTTCCTTTAATCAATTAACAAGCCATTTATTAAGATGGCTACTATGCACTATACATTATGTTAAGTATTGAGGATATGTAGCAAAAATGAAACAGTCCCCACTCTCATGTGTTTTACACTCTATTGGCATTAAAAAACAAAACAAAATTCACATACATATAATATTCTACACACACACACACACACATATATACACATACACACATATCTATAGACATATACGTACATACACACACACACCTACACATACATACACACAAAGCAACTGGGAGTGGCACTAACAGTTTAGGGTAGGGATAAAGAAAGGCTTCATGTAGGACAGGCATCAGTGAACTATGGCAAGCCAGATGTGGTCCTTGGGCCATAATCTGCCAACCCTTGACATAGATGGTATAGCACATAAGCTGAACCTTGACAGAACAGCAGAATTCTACAAGGCAGAGGGGAGAAGAAAGTGCATTCCAGGAAGAGGAAACAAAGATGGAATACCGTGTACAGGAATGTACAGTTTGACTAGAACACAGAGTGCATGTATAATGATCTTGGAATGGTTAGCTGGAGCCAAAGGATGAAGGTCTTTAAATGGCAGAGACATTTGCATTTTCTCCTGCAGGGAGCAGCAGGGAGCCACCACCAGAGGTCTCTGCGCACAAAACTACACGCTTGGATCTTGGCTTCAGAATATGGCTTTGACAGTTATGTGGAAGATGAACTAGAAAGAAGAGACTGGGGAGAGACCAATCAGGAGGTTATTTAAGTAGCCCAGGTGAGAGGTGAAGGGGACTTAAAATAGGGTGATGGGAATGAGAAGGGACTTGGAAACCAATTAAGATATGAATGCTGGAGAGTAAAGAATCAAGGATGATGCTGAGGTTGAAACCCTGAGTGAGAAGAAGGACGATGGTACCGTCAACAGAACAGAAAAATCAGGAAGAGGGTTGGGTTTGAAATGCCTACATGATATCCATTTAGATGTATCCAACAGACAGTTGGTGATGTGGGACTAGAACTCAGAAGAAAGTGTAGGGTTGGATAGAGAGACCTGAGAGTCCTCTACATAGAAATGATTACTGATGCCACAGAAGCTGATGAAATCACTGAGATGGTTCAGAAAAGGAGACCCAGACTTGAGGCTCCCCCACACGTAGAAGGGAGGAAACTGAGGAGTGGCCAGACAGGTACAAGGCCAACTAAGAGGGAGAGGTGACACAAGAACCCAGAGGAAGACAGAGTTGGAAGAGCATCACTGCTGTAGAGAGCTCAAGAATTACCAAGAATATCATATGATCATGTTAAAAGTTTTGTCCCTCAAATATTTTTAATTTAAAGCATGACAAGATGCAATAATTTTACCCTTACTTGAAATAAAAAGAGATATCCTTGGAGAAATACCATCAAACCACAAACAAAATATCACAATCTTTTCAAGAATCTTTATTCAATATTGTCTACATATAATACTACATAAGCTAATCAATGAATAGATCATCACACAATCATGGAAAAAGGACCTGCCATGTCAAATTGAGCTGATTGTCTAATCCATTTTTCTTACTTGTCTACTCATAATAAGCTCTGAGAAAGATCCGTCATTGCAGTTAAAATTTGAGATCATCACTTCCCAAAGACTTAAAGCAGTCATTCAGAAATTCATCAGTTATTTCTTCTAATTTGGCTGGCTTCCACTTAGGGTTCTGGTCTTTGTCAACCAAAACTGCCAAGAAAAAAGGAAGATATAAGTAAATCTTTACATATCCATGCCAGACTTTAATTACCAAAGATGCACAAACTACTCATCTTTTTACAGTACCTCTTTTCCTAAAAAGTATATATTGATTGTGTTCACTTATAATTCGTTTTCTAGGTTGAACTCTGAAATGCCTTGTCATTCTCAATTTCTGAGTGCCAGTGATAGATTGGAGCATGTTTTTAATCCTCTTTAGCCAAAGGTTTAAACCCATCTAAAGCCATAAGGAAATTGTGCACCTCCCAATAACTACTCGAGTCAATGGTACTGACATCAAAATTTAGCCTTCTTGAAGGGTAAAAAGGAACATATCAGAATTAATGAAGTCTTTGTTTTGGAGAATAGTTATTACACTTTAAATTAGTTCAATAAAGGCAAGAATCATTAGTTACAATTTATTTTGGAAACAATATAGAATGTTATCAGTGTCACTGAAGAGACAGAAGGAAACATAACCAGTTATGTTGAATATGACAAGTATTAATACACTTTATTATCTACTAAATACAGAGATTTATATGTGTTCTAAGCATCTCTGGTTATCTTCATACCACGTTGTCTACACTTTGGCCATTATACCCTTATTCTCCTAATCAGCACCTTAGCCTCATGTCCCTGAGATTCTGGCAGGGATCTTTCACCTTATCTCACCCAGAACCAGGTTTCCACATCACTTACTGGGCCACTTCGCATGATTTGCACTCTGCCCTTCCACTAACTTTCTAGCTCCCTTTATGTGTTGATTATAAGGTCCTTGAGGAAAGAGGCTGTCTTGCTTGTTTGTATCTGCAGCCCCAGCAATAGGACCCCCCGATAATGGGTTCACTTTGCTGAACTCTCTGAAATCTGCTATCCTAAAGTCTAGGGTGCTTGGTATTTCCCTCTTTAGATATCACAAGCTCTAACATACCATGATAACTTTTGTTTCCAAAGTTCTAGCTACTCCTACTTTACCAACAAGGTCCTCTCCTCATTCACCAGAATAAGGTCTAGGATGCACATCAGTTCCTCTAATTTAAAAGAAACCTGACTGTAAGGCAGGTCATCACTGCAGTATCTTAAGACATTCCAGAAAATCTAATATTTTTTGATGCCATCTATGCAATCAGCTATTCATCTCTATATCCTCCTTGGTCCTCCAAAGTTTTCAACTCCACCTGGAAGAAATGACAAAGGCACATGTGCCCCTCATTGGCTCCACTTCCTCCCCAGGATTTCATAGTCACCAGAGGCACTAAGTGACAAGAGTAGTTCTCTGTACCCTTTACCAACCACCACTCCCATCTTTCTCCCAAGGCCAGCAATAGCTTTCTTCACACGCCCTGGTACTTGCCAATCCTTCTTAATTCTATGCAGCAGTAGCTGCTCTCCCTTCCCAAGTCGGTCCAAATGCACCCGCTGTGTGAAGAGCCGCGTATTTGTCACACACTGTCAGTGGTATGCAGCTACTTTTCTTTCCTCTTTGCTGTCATGTTTTAATACTCACCAACCTCTTGCCCTCCATTTCAATTTTCCTGTACCCCTTGGAATTTTTTTCTTCTTGGCTTACTTCTTCTATCCTAAGAACTCACAGATTTATAGAATATTTTAGATGAAAGACCTTGCTCTGTCATGAGATAACTGTGCCCCTTGGCAAGTAATTTAATTTTTCTCAGTTTTCTCACCTATAAAATGAGGAGTTGGACTATATGTTCTCTAAGACCCTAATGTCTAGGAATCTAGGGGGGAACAATTTTAGAGCAAGAGACATTTGAGGGTGGACATAGCAGCTTTGGAGGCTGAAGGACAGCAACAGGGTACTGGGTACTTGGGGAGCAATCCTAAGAAGAGAATAGGTAGATAGAGAGAGAATGTATGTGTATTTGTTCATAAACACACACAGAAGCACCAGGAAACCAACCTTTTCACTGGTTGACCCTCATGCCTAGAATGCTCTTTCCCCTTCTCATCTCCACCTCCTTCCTGGCTTCCCTGATTTTCTTCAAGATTCAGCTCAAATTAACCTTCTGTAAGATGCCCTTCCTTTTCTGGTCATCCTCCTCTTCCTACCCTCCCACCCCCATCCCGTTGCTGGTTAATGCCTTTCCTCTGCAGTTACCTCCAATTTACCCTGCAAGTATTTTGTATGTACGTAGTTTGCTTGTTGTCTATCCCATGAGAAGATGAGCTCCCTGAGGACACAGGCTATGTGTTTTTGCCTTTCTTTGTATCACTAGCATTTAGGCAGTATCTCAATAAATGCTAACAGATTTACTTTGCAATTGTGCTTAAAGCATTAATGGCCACCTGACAATTTCTGCCACTGAGAATCATCTCACCTTTTATTTTAATGACTATTGAACCCAAAAGCCTCAGTTTGTTGGTGACCAGAGCTATTCTATACCATGTATAAAATGAGCAAAGAAAGTACTAGTTCTGAAATGCTAATAAAGGAAAATAATTAACTGTCTTAAAGTGAAAAAAAAATGAATTTATTGTGGGAGAAAAGAAGCTACTAGGTCAGAATTTGTTTACAGAGAATTGCTATGTAATTTTTTATGTATATGATGAAGTTTGTTATTTTTTTAAAAATAGCTAATTAATTGTGTTAGAATATGCAAGGGACTGATAAAAATCTGGCATCTGTGATAAATAATGAACTGACACAAATATATGACTAAGATCAATAGATTAAGTACTCAAAAGTTATCAGGAAAAGAAAAACTAAAACTATAAATAACCTTATGAAAAAATGTTCCAAATAATTAATAAGTGAAAATATAAATTAAAACGAGAGGTTTCACCTTGCATTCTTCCTAATTCCCAAGCTGAAGAGAACTCTATAAGAAATCACACAACTGTTCTGACTGGATACATTATACATTTATCTTAATTCAACTTCAACTGGCTGTCATTGCATCAAGGAAGATCTTTTATTCCTTATAAACTGATTCTCTATCTCACTCTCCCCACAGAAGCTATTTAAAACCTTTTTTTCCCCTCCCAAACAAACTCTATCCATCTTCTCTCACTTAAGGATTTTGACTCTGAGACAACTTAGGCTCCTTATCCCATTCTCTTCTTCTCAAAACCACTAGATCTCTTCCCCTACTCTCTACCTTTCCCCCAGTGTCTGGCAATGAGGTGGCCTTTTCTTCTTGCCAAGGCCAACTGCTCTTGCCATGACCCCATCTCCTCCTGTCTTCTTCTGTAGATTAGAACTTCAAACATCCCATCTCTCTCCAATCTTCAACCTCTCCCTATCTACTGGCTCTTTCCCTATTGCCTTCAACTGTGCCCAAGTCTTCCTTCATTTTTACAAAACCTTCACTTGACCCTTCCATTCCCTCAAGCTGTTATTTCTCTCCTTCCTTCTTCTGCTATACTAAAAAAAAAAAGCTTTTTTCACTCCCTGCCTCTACTTTCTTTCCTTTCACCCTCTTCTATATCCTCGGCAATGGGGGTTCCAACCTTACCATTCATCTTAAACAGCTCTCTCCAAAGTTACCAAGTGATATCACAATTACCCAATCTGATAGTCCTTTCTCAGTCCTCATCACTCTTGATTTATATGCTGTATCTGACACTTGCCCAAACTCTCCTCCTGGATATTCTCTCTTTTCTGTGTTTTCATGGCACTATACTCTTATTCTCTCCTCGTTTTCTTTCTACTCAACCACTCTCTTCACCTCCTTTCTTGGCTCATCATTGTTATCACACAACCCCCTAATTTGGGGTGTTCTCCAAGGCTCTTTCCTAGGCCCTCTTCTCTCTCTCTCTCTCTCTCTCTCTCTCTCTCTCTCTCTCTCTCTCTCTCACACACACACACACACACCTATCACCTCATCAGCTCCCATGGCTTTAATTAGCATCTTTATGTGGATGACTCATATCTATCTACACTCAGTCTCTCCTCTGAGCTTCAGTCCCACATCACTGGTTGCTTACTAGACATTTCAAATTAGATAGCCTGGAAATATCTCAAACTCAACATGTCCAAAACTGAACTCAGTCTCTTTCTCCCAAATCTTTTCCTTTTCCAAACTATCCTATATCTATCCAATTTACCACCATCCTTCCAGTCGCCCAGGTTCATAACCTTAGCAAATTCCCCATTCTCCCTCATCCCACATAGCCAATCAGTTGCTTTTTCTACCTTGACAACTTATATCATATCATCAGGACCTCTTCTCTCTACTCACACCACTACCACCTTCATTCAGGACCTTGCCACCTCTCATCAAGATTATCATAATACACTCCCAATTGATCTCCCTGCCTCAAGCCTCTCCTCTACTTCAGATCACCTCCCACACTGCTGCCAAAAAAAAAAAGTTTCTTTAAGTTCAGATCTGACTACTGATCTATCTCTGTACTATTTGACTTCACATCCACTACTCAATAAACTTCCTACTGTCTCTAGGATAAAATATAGGCTTTTTTGTTTAGCTTTTGAAACCCATTCACAGCCTGACCCCAACCTATCTTTCCAACACCACTGAACATGACATCCTTCTCTGTTTTTCACGCGTGAAGCTCTGTCTCCTATCTCCATGCCTTTGCACTGGCTAGCCCCTACATCCAGAATGCATTTGCTCCTGATTGCCACCTCACAGGATCCCTCTCTTCATTCATGGCCCAGTTTAAGAATCATCTTTTAAATGAAGTCTCTCCTGAGGCCTCTCCTCAAGAGCTAGCAAAAAAAAAAAAAATTGAGGCCATTCATCATGAGCTCTTTCTCCTCCCCTCTTCTCTATCTCCTATCTGTCACTTAGAGGCTTTCTGCAATCATCTCCTCCTTCACCTCTCTCTCACATGATGAGGTAGCCTCACTCCTTCCCAAGGTTTATCCTTCTACCAGCTCTAGTGATCCCATGCCATCCTATCCTCTCCAACAGATTGGCCCTTCTCTCTCTCTTACTTTCAATCTCTCCTTGTCAATAGCTCATTCCCTACTGCCTACAAGCATGCTCATGTTTCTCCTGAAA